GACCCATGAAAAAGAAGGTTTGTTCAAGTCGGTGAGATTCAGGATAGCCTTCCATATGGTAGCAGCCAACGTGCACTTGGCAAACAAATGATCCCTAGTTTTCAGTGTTTCATTGCAGATTACACATAGCCCATTAGTAATGATTCTCATACGTTGTGGTATCTCCCTAGTTGGTAGTCTATCAAGAATAACCATCCAAGAAATCATGCCAAGTTTAGGAATATGGAGGAGAAACCAAATCAGTTTATGCCATATAACTTTGTCACCTTTAAGCCGTAACTCTTCCCATATTTCTTTTGTTTTCTTTGCTACAGAAGATAATACTAGGTGAGTCACTATTCTTAGTTTTAAAAGTCTCATGATGCACCAGCTTGTACTTGTTGTTTCTTCAATGTGCTAGAAGTCTTGATCCTTAATCACTTATCTTATGATCCAAGTAACCCACAGAGAGCCTTCTCCCGCAAGAATATTTCTAATGAGATGCAACATACACGATTTATTCCATGTTTTGATATTCTTTAGATCGAGGTCTCCTTCAGATTTCGGTTGGCAAATCTTCTCCCAACTAACTCTGGCTCTAGAGGCAGTTTTATCAGTACCTTTCCAGAAATATCTATAGCAAAGTTGCTCAATCTTGTTCATGATTGATTGAGGCAAAATTAACTACCTGCACCAATAATTTGCAACCCTGAACATGACAGGTCTCACCAGTTCAAGCTTGCATACGTAGCTCAAATTCTTTCTTGACCATTGGTGAAGTTTGGACTTAATCTTATCAATTAGAACCTCATAGTCCTTTTCGGTGAGTTTCCTTGTGACTAAAGGAACCCCTAAGTATCTCACAAACAAAAAACCATGTTTGAATCCTATTGAGTTTAAAATAGTCTCAAGATTTCGAGATGTGATTACATCAGTATATAATTCACATTTAGCAACATTAAGTTTAAGACCAGATAATTTATAGAAATAATCCAAGACAGTAATGACTCCAACAACAGATTCGATATTGCCTTTACAGAAGATTAAAAGGTCATCAGTAAATGATAGGTGAGTGAGGCATATCTTCTTACATTTAGGGTGGAAACCGAACATACCTCTGATAGCATCAATATTAAGAATTCTAGATAGAACGTTCATTGTAAGAAAACAAGATAGGGGATAGAGGGTCACCTTGTATGATTCCCCTTGCACCCTTGAAGTAGCCAATCAAACTTCCATTAAAAGAGATGGAGTATCTAGCTTCTGAATAACAAGCTTCGATCCAACCAATGAATTTACTTGGCAGCTCTAAAGCCTTAAGGATAGCAGAAATGAAGCCCCAGTGGATAGAGTCAAAAGCCTTTTGGAGGTCAATTTTCAATGCACACCTAGGGGAAATGGTCTTCATCCCTTAACCTTTTACCAGTTCCCGAGGAAGAAGAGTGTTGTCAATAATACTTCTTCCTTTTACAAAAGTAGATTGATTAAGTGTTATTATCACTGGTAGCAGATTTGTCAACCTTTTAACAAGGATCTTTGTAATTGTCTTGTACACCACTGAGCAACAATAAATTGGAAGAAATTCAGAAACCTTGCTAGGATTAGGAACCTTAGGAACTAATGCAATGGTAGTGGCATTGAACGCTGGAAAGATGGATGTCTCTTGAAAAAAATACTTAATAGCATCAACCACCTCATCTCCAACCATATGCTAAGATTTTTTTGAAAAAATATGAAGTAAAACCGTCAGGGCAGGAGCTATGTCATTACCTTGACTGAAGATGGCCTCATTTATCTCTTCAAAGGTGACATCTTTTATACGATCAGAAGGATCTTCAAGAGTCAAGCTAGTGTGCAACAGTTCTTTAAAAAGACTAGGTTCACATTCTTTTACATTTGAATCAACAGAACCTAACAATGTTGTGAAAAAGTCAGTCACTTCAGAAGACATTTCAGCAAAAGGCTCAAGCCTTCTACCTTGGTCATTGACAAAAACCCTGATTGTGTCCCTTTTGTTTTTTGTAGCAATAACATAATGGAAAAAATTTGAGCATTTGTCACCCTCTTTTAGCCAATGCACTTTTGTTTTTGTTTTTTAAAACATGACCTGTTCTTCTTCAAGAGATTTTAATTTTCTTTGTAAATCCAGTTCCTTTTCGATAGAGTCTTCTCCTCTTAAGGTTGAGAGTTGTTGCAGTTCCATCTCATTTTTATTTTGTCTTACCCGAGTTGAAATATCACTGTAACAATCTTTATTTAGGGTCTTTAGATTGGCTTTTAGGCGCTTAAGCTTTAGAAAAAGAATCTTCATTGGATTTCCTTGAATTTCCGGTTGCCAAGAGTGGCTGACTACATTTAAGAAATATGGGTGAAGAGTCCAAAAATAAAAAAAATTAAAAGGCTTGGGTCTATTAGCTTGTACCACTTTGTTTAGCAAAACCAGTGCCATACAGTGATCAGAGGAGCCATACGCAAGGAATTCCACAAGAGAGTTATGGAATGAGTTAATTCGCTTGGAGTTGATAAGCACCCTGTCTACTTTTCGTACAAGGAAAGTGTATTTTTGTTTGTTGCTCCATGTAAAAGTAGGACCAAAGAAATGATGATCTTGGAGTTGTAAATCTTGGATGACACCTTGAAAGTCTTTCATGTCAGTATTAATGATCGGTCCCAAAAGCTCATGGTCAGAGCTTTCATTCGGATGCAAGGTAACATTATAATCCCCTCCTAGGATCCAAGGAAATGTAGCGAAGTTAGTTTCCAGGGCAAAGGAGTTGTTGCCAGAGCTGTCTTCGGATAATACCATCATTGCTGCTATAAATCGCAGTAATGATCAGAGGAACACCATGGTAGGATCCTTTAACAGAAATGCTCTGGGCCGAAGCATGACATTGGGAAATATCCAAACCATTTTTCCAAAGAATCCAAATCCTCCCATTCGTAGCAGAATCATATTTAGAACAGACATTCCAATTCTAAAATCTAGTATTGAATAATTCAACTGATTTTTTGACTTTTACTCGGGTCTCCAACAAGCAAAAACAATCAACATTATTTTGGGTTGTCCTTTGTATGACTTTACCTTGTTTTAGAGGATTGTTTAATTCTCTAACATTCCAAAAACTAATTATCATTGTCATTGAGATGGGGATCCCATATCGCCCGCATTACTACCAACTGATGAACTCTTTGCTTTATCTAAGTGAATCTTTTTTTGTTTTGAGGTCCTTAATCAAATCTGTAACACCAGTGGAAGCAGCTCATACTTTTCTACCCTGACCCTTTGAGGAATGATGATTCTAATCCACTGAATTTAGAAATTTCAAATATATTTTTGGATCTTGCTAAAGCCGCTTTGGATTTGTCCTTTGCTGGCCTTCCTCCACCCCGTTTAGGAGGTAAAGGTTGATTTGATTCTTTTCCTTTATCAATAGAAACGGTAAGAACAGAAAGGGATGGTTCACCTTCAACATTGATATCAATAACTTCTTTACCATCTTATTTGGTGATTTGAAGATCAGAATTTGAGTGCTCTCCCTCGGCAACAGAGTCATTAGGAATTGTTTATTTTTCAGGAGCTAATTCTCTTCTAGTACCAACCTCCTTAGTGTTTTTCTCATCCATAACATTTGTATCAACTGACTTTGATTCCTGCAAAGCTTAATTACCACCAGCAATATGAGCCACTGAGATAGTGTTGTTTTGTCCCTTTTTCCTCCATACTTGAGCGGTAACAGGGGCAGTGGTTGAAATTTCTGAGCATCCTTTATCACTATGGCCAAATATTTTGCATTTTCTACAGCAAGAAGGAAGCCAAGGCACTTCTACAGCTATCGAAGTAGCTTGGCCATTATTAAGGACAACATCAATAAACTTAGGGATTTCCTCATTCACCCCTATTTCAACACAATTTTTTTGCAAATTATAATCTTGATTTAGAGGCAGTAATTGAATCCATTGAAAGGGGAACACCTATGGCACTAACAATGTAACTTAATCCTTCACGCGGGAAAAGTTCGAGAGGAACACTATAAAGATGAACCCAGATTGGAATTCTCGATAAATCAAAATTAAGCTTTTTCAAGTTTGGTTTCCATTTCCTAAGGATCAATGGCTTGTTTAGGATGTGCCAAGGACCATTTTCTAAGACCCAATCCCTTGCAGATTCAGAATTGAAAGAAAATATGTAGAGATTGTTTCCTATGTGACTGACCTGAATGTGGGCTCCTTGCAAAATCTTTTCCATAAATTTTCAATGATTCTTTGCATTGTGGCAAAATTAGGAACAACCCCAAGAAATTGCCCCACAAAAGATAATTTCCATTATGCTATTCCAGCTTCAAATACTTCAGGTGGTGGTTGAACGGTCGAAATCCCTCTCGCAATTTTCGGGGAAAGAAATCTAACTCTTGCCCAACTGAACACGCAAACAATTTACGTCAATCCATCAGACTCACAAGCGAAACAATTAAAGAATATGAAGTAGGCTGAAGAGACAATTGGAGTAGAAATCAATCGGTTCACTGAAGACAAGACGGAATTCTCAGTTTCCATTAGTTCTGCTAACGTGCACCCAGAGAAAACCACAATCGTGCGCCATATTTCTGCCGTGTCTCCTAAAATTTTTACGTTAAAATAAAACATCAAAACTATAATACTCCTAAAATTTAAAATTATTTAATTAAACATTAATATATTTTTTTCGACATTATGCCATTATTTCCCAATGCCTAACGTTTTACCAACCTCCCAATAGTGCAAAGAGAACACAAACATATAAATAAATTAGTAATAAATAAGGGGAAAAAGGTCTATTTATAGGCTTTAATCCTAGTAACAGAAATGCAGGCAAGGCTAGGCTAGAAGACAAGTTTTCCTCTTTGCCCTTGCTTTGTTTGAGCGATCCTAGGTTTCTGTTTCTTCTCCCTTTTGACCCAAGTTCACTATAACGTTTCAATCACAGTTATGTGAACAAGGATCTCAGTAGAAAATTCAGGAAAAAAATCAGAACATAGCGACTGCAACAATGGAAAACAAAGATAGCTTCGGTGCTTCTGAAAATGGTGATGACCAGTCGAATAAGACACTTGTCGATAACAACAAAGGTGGCATTAAGACAATGCCATTCATCATAAGTAAGCTTTTTGATATCTGTTGGAATCTTGAGTTTTGTTTTTCATTTTTGTTAAGCCGTTTATTGCTATGCTTGACCGTGGATGTTGCAGTAAATGAGATATGCGAGAAACTGGCAATGGTGGGGTTCAGTAAAAACATGGTTAACTACTTGACAAACCAGCTTCACATGCCATTAACAAAAGCAGCCAACACTGTCACCAACTTCAATGGTACTTCGAGCTTGACGCCGCTGCTTGGGGCTTTCATTGCTGATTCATATGCTGGGAAATTCTGGACCATCACTGTTGCAACAGCCATATACCTAATGGTAAGAATAATTGCAGTTTTCATGTAGTTGAAGAAGAAGCATCAAATTTACAGCTTATATATAATTTGATGTGATGAGTAGGGAATGATAGTCCTAACACTCTCGGCAGCAATGCCACAGCTCCGGCCACCGCCATGCGAAGGTAACCAAGTTTGCCAAGAAGCCAACGGCAGTCAAACGGCTATTCTCTACCTTGCTCTTATGCTGGCAGCCTTGGGATCCGGCGGAATCCGACCTTGCGTGTCGGCCTTTGGGGCGGAGCAGTTCGTTGAGGAGGACCCTAGGAATCCTCATAAAACGTGGGTGTTCTTTAATTGGTACTACTTTGCATTGGGAGTCGCCGTATTGATAGCATTAACTGTGATCGTGTATATCCAAGACCATGTAGGATGGAGCTTCGGCCTCGGGATTCCTACCATAACCATGGCTTTGTCCATCATCGTCTTCCTCATTGGTTACCCTCTTTACCGAAATCTGGATCCTGCTGGAAGTCCTTACACTCGTGTCTTTCAAGTCTGTGCTGCTGCTTTTAGAAAGAGAAAGATTCCCTTGATTTCTGATCCTAAGTTTTTGTATGTCAACGAGGTGCTTGATGGCTCGATTTCCAGTGACGGACTGCTTCATCATACAAATCAATTCAAGTTGGCACTTGCCTCTTTTCATGTGATTTTAAATTAATCTCAATGTTTATATGATTAACCAAATGAAAATGTGTGCAAAATGCAGGTTTCTGGATAAGGCTGCCATTGTGACTGAAGAAGATGGTGTTGCATCGTCAGAAAAACCCAATTTTTGGAGACTTAACACTGTCCATAGAGTTGAAGAATTGAAATGCATATTCAGAATGCTACCGATTTGGGGAGCTGGTATTCTGTTTGCCGCAGCCGATGCTCAACAAAACACATTTTCCTTACAACAGGGCAACACGATGGACAAACACCTGAGCAAGTCATTCGAGATTCCCTCCGCTTCCATGTCGGTCTTCGCCAAGTTGTCGACGCTCATCGTGATAGTCTTGTACGATCGCATACTGGTTCATGTAGCCCGCAGGTTCACGGGGCTCGATCGGGGCATAAACGTTTTGCAGCGGATGGGAATAGGCTTTTTCATCTCGATATTAGCAACTCTGGTAGCCGGATTCGTCGAAGTGAAGAGAAAACATGCAGCCTTGGCCGATGGCCTAATCGACAGCCCGAAATCGATAATTCCCATCTCTGTATTTTGGCTCGTGCCGCAGTATAGCCTTCACGGTATTGCCGAGGCATTCACGGCTATCGGTCACCTCGAGTTTTTCTACGACCAAGCTCCCGAGAGCATGAGAAGCACTGCAACAGCATTGTTCTGGACATCCATTTCAGCAGGGGACTACACGAGCACGCTTCTGGTTACGCTAGTCCACAAGTACACTGACTGGCTTCCCAACAAGAACTTGAATAAGGGGAAGTTGGAGTATTTTTATTGGTTGATCACTTTTTTGCAAGCTCTAAACTTTGTATACTACTTAATATGCTCAAAATTTTATACTTTCAAGGTTTTCCATAGCCGCAAGATAGAACGTGATGAAGGGGTTGAAGTCACTAGCTCGGTCTAACGGCGCTCTTTGCTTTGCATGAGAAAGGAACAGTCTTATACATATACCTTTCTTTTAATTACCTTGTACAAGAAAAATGAAATAGACATCAATAATGAGCAGGTATATGCAGGCAACCGTGGCTTGGATCCTTGTTTATTTGTCCTTTAGTTTTCCATTTTGTTCCTGCAGAATGAAGATTCCATTTGTTCATGCGTTTGATGGGGGTATAGAGGTCTGCGTTCTTGACATGTCATGCATGCAACGAGTGTTTTACATCCAAAAGGAACATGAACCAACTATAGTTAAATCCCAATGTGTTTTATTCTAGATTTAATTCCACCAAAGGATAGACGGGACCAGCATCCATCTAATTTTTTTAATTATCATACAATTTAAGTATTATATTTGCATTTATTATTAATAGTGTATTTTCTTATCTTAAAATTTTATAAGTTTATTTTTGTAAGATTATATAAATTTACTCTTCTAACGTAAAAAAAGATTATCTTGAATCCTTTAATTTTATTTAGCTTCCTAACCAAACCATATTATTATCTTGGTAGACTAAACTAGACTCAAAAATTGAAATATGGCATCACTATTCCCTTGCAGTTGACTCTTGACTCAATACTTAGATTATTTTATGAATGACGATTGATCTTTGTTAGTATATTGTTTTGAATTCCAATTGTCCTCTAGAAAAGATTAATATTTTATTCTTATTGACAAGTACTATGCTTCATTAATATGCAAGTAGAAGTAATAATAATAATTGGGTTAGTATTTGATATATTCTTAATGAAATATTTAAAAGTATATTAAAATGTTATCACATGTTTTAAAATTAAAATCTAAAACTTTAAATATTCAAAATCTTTCATAATTATTAACTAAATACACACTTTATAGATACAACTGTTTGAATCCAAGATCTTAAAATAAAATAATACCCATTTTAACCATTGAGATTAATTGATAGGTTATTATCTCATAAATACTAAATGAATTAGTCTTTCATGATAAGTATATTAACCCAAGATACTGGAATTATTGATATTTTTAATAACGTTCATATTTATAAATAGAAAATTAACCTAATAGATCCCCTTTGTGTAAGACTTGTTTATTACCCATTTGCTAAATATTATGGTTTTTTAAGACAGCTTTCCTCGCTGGCTTGTTTAATTTGTATTGTTGAAGGAAAACGTTAAATGTGGAATGCTTTCGATCCAATTCCTATCCCCGGATAACACCCACACCAAGAACACCTTTCTAAAATAGTTAAGTTTGAAATATCAATCTATCAATCGACCGAATATTGATAATTTTATAAAAAAATATATAATAAATAATTTGATTAATACAAATAAAAAATCCTCTAAAAAAAATAAAATATTAGTGTTAGCATTCTACTAGTTCAACAGGATTGAGGAAGCAAAGGGAATGCTAGCATATAGTGTTAAATTGGTTTATTTCTCTTTGCATTTATTACTGTTTGATTGTTTACGTTTGGTTTTGACTGTTATGAGCTCAGCAGTCTCATCACTTGTATAAATTGTTGGTCTCTGTTTCAGAGATGTCACAGCTTCATTAATAAAATGATAGAGACTACTACCTCTCTTTTCTTCTCTACTTTCTCTCCTTCGGTTCAGAGATAGTTGAACTGCTAGCTTAACAATTATATTATTTTTGTATATAATTCCTTCAAAACATCTTTATAAAATAATTAATTGTTCTAAAATGTTTATTGTTTTTCATTTTTAAAAACAACCTTTATATGGAGTAATATTTAATGAATTTGTATTTTCTTATTATTTTTCAAAATTCCTTTTTACCTATTCAAAAATAAATAAATTATTATTAAAATTGAACTTTTTTTTTGTTATTTAAAAAATATTATTTTCACTAAAATTTAATTTAAAATATAATTACGGTGCATTGTGTAAATCACTTATTTTTTGTATAAGATGAATATTACATTTGTATGATAAGATAGATTATTTAATTTTTAAAATAAATGTGATCATAAAAAGTAATTAAATCATAAAAATTAAAAGATTAAGGATTAAAATATTTTAAAATATAATTAAATAAAAAAAATTGAGATGAGGAAAGGCTTAATCACAATGGTTTGTAAAACTATTTAATTCTCACCTCACATATAATAATATACTTTGATTGAACATTTTGCTCTATAAAAATGTTTTTTTTAATCCTCTTAAAACATCTTTATAAAATGTTCTATTAAAATATAGTTTTGATGCAACATGTAAACTAATTTAGTTGGACTAACAATTACAGAAGAGTTGCAGAATTTGATCATTGGAAATATTTTAAACATTAATTAATAAAGATTTTAAAACAAGGTCCTCATTATTCTGATTTTAAATTAATAAAATATGAATATGAATTGTTGTTGATTTATTTAAATTTAAAAGGAATAAAATTATCAATTTATTATACAATTATTATCCTTATTAACAAGTACTATGCGACTATGCTCTATTAATAGAGGTGATTCTGATACACTTGTGACTTGACACAACTAACAATTATGCAAGTAGAAGTAATAATAATGAGGGTAAATTATATTAGATATCATCAAATTTTAAGTGTTGTTAGGGATGTAAACAAACCGAGTATTACTGAGCTTAATTCGGCTCGAAAACTCTAAAATGGAGCTCAATTCGAAAACTCGCGAGTCTAAAATTTTAAAGCTCAACTCAAATTTGAAATCATGAATTGAACCTCGTAAAAGCTCGAGAAAGCTCGAAATGAAAAAAATCTTAAACTTAACTCGATTGAAGCCTTAAACTCAAAGTCGACCTGAACCTTAAATACATGAAAATCTTATACTACATTCTTTTTTTTAAAAATCAACACATAGATGTTAATATTATTAATAATTTATTTTTTAAAATAAAATCTTAATATATTATATTTTTTAGCTGTTCACGAGTTTTTCGAGTCGAACATCAAGTCGAGTCGAGCTATTTATAGCTCATTAAGAACTCGAGTCAAGTCCATTCGATTAGAGTATTTATCGAGTTTGAGTAGCTCGCAATCTGTCTCATCTCATTTACAGCCCTAGGCTTTGTATCATTTATACTATTGAATTTTGAATTTTGTCAATGATAACATTGATTTTTAATTTTCGTTTCAATTATATCACTAAACCATTAAATCATTAACGACACGATGATGTGGTTGACGGTCGTCGTCGTAGACACCTAAACAAAACGACGTTGTTTTGATCTGGCTATTAACGATTTAACAATACAATGGTATAATTGAAACGATAATCAAAGTTCAGTATTATAGTTGATAAAATTAAAATTTAATGGTATAAACGAAATAATACTTAAAATTCAGTGGTATCTGATATAGTTTACCCTAATAATTATAGTAACCCAAGATACTGTCAGTGATATATATAAATAACCTAATAGAAGGAAAACGTTAATGTGAAATGTTTTCAATCCTAAAGTTCAGTGATATTTATCGTTTATTATCGATATGCTAAATATCATGTTTTTTTTTAAGACTGCTTCATGTAATTATTTCCCCCCTGACAAGTTTAATTTGTACTATTGAAGGAAAACGTTAACGTGAAATGTTCAATACACCGAAAACATCATTCTAAAATATTTAAGTTTAAAATATTATTAATAAAAAAAATTTAAATATTAGATTACTTTTATATAATTCTTGTCATGACCTTTTTTCTTAAAAGCAACTCGATGACTATTTATTTACACTTATCCATTCGTTATTTTAGAAATATGTGTTTTTATCGATTAAAAAAGTTGTTAGATTTTATTAAAAATGTATTTGTCATTGACCATTTAAATTAGATGCCATCGATCATTAATAAAATTATCTTACGTAAAGTTTCAGAATCTTCTTTTAAAAAATAAGGTTTAAGTCCGTGCTTGAAAATCGAAGAAAAAAGAATAAGTTCGAGAATTGGCTATGGACATACTACAGCAAAATAGATCTATAGCTGTATTATTAGCGGCATTTTGATAGAAAACGCTTCTATTTTATACATACAGCGACGTTTATAGGTAAAACATCCCAAAATAGTAATATTAGCGGTGTGTTTAGGCAAACGCCGATACAAACTCATACTTTATTGGCATTTTTGAGAAAAACGCTGCAATATATTAAATATATAATTGTGTTTGTAATTACAAATGACACAAGTGCTGTCATCCCATACCCTTTAGTGGCGTTTACAAAAAACACCGTAATCGACTAAACATATAGTAGCGTTTGTAACGCAATAGGTAAGTAATTTGTGGCTTTTTTAATAAATGCCGCAATAGTCTCATCAATTTGTGCCATTTTTAAATTAAAAAACATCGTTATTTCAATCATTTTGTGGCGTTTGAATTTACAAACGCAGCAAAGGTTATACCTTTAATCCTGTGAAACCATTTCCCCCCTTTTCATCTGTTTCTTTACCTATTTCCGCCGTTAAGGTTCAACACCATTCTCTCTTCAACTCACATCGTGAGTCTCTTTTTTTTCTTTCACCACCGACCCCTAAAATCAGTTTTCATTACGCGTGATTTTTCCTTCCTTCTGATCGACACCAACATCAGTTTTCTTCTATCGGCGACAGTAACAAAGGTAAGAACATCTTCCGTTGTTTCAGATTTCTTGCATCATTGACTATTTTCTGTGTTTTACCATTTTTTAGGTATTTTTCTTTTTTCAGTTGTTAGATAAAACTATTTAAAATTTCTTGCATAATTTGTTTGGGTTCTTGAAATTATCCTTTATTATTTTAAATTTTTACTAAAATCTTGTTAAATATTATAAGAATTTCAAGATTTACCTCATTCTTGCTTTGGGTATCTTGTTCTGCTTAACCCTAAGAATTTCCAGGTGTCGTTAGTTGCTATTCTATTTAAGATTTACTGATTAAATATAGACGGAGAGTGGGTGGTTCACACTTCGTTTTTGCACCCAAACTAATGAACAAATTCGGTTGCATATCTAAATGTATACGAAAATTCATTGAAAATTTTCAGAGAGTTGAAAAACCATAAACTTTAAGAGACAGTGAGAAGTAGGGCAGAGCAGAGAAGTCACATGGCGGTTTAAAATAATGGATCTTGGTCAGGTCTCAGTTTCTATGCTCTATTTTGGGTTCCTTGAGGATTTTGATGTATTTATTAATGATATGAATGACCTTGGTGAACTATTATGGAGGTAGCATTTGGGCTAGGTCTTTTGGTAAATTAGTTGGATAGTCTTGTTTAATCTATAAGCATTAAGATTAATGACGGTGATAAGAGAATTAAACCTCTGGCTGTTTTGGTTTCAATGAAATCTATTTTGCAAATTCAGTTATGGTCAACTTTGTTTTTTCATCAACGACTGTGATCTTTTTGGCCAATTTCTATTTAACTGTCTGAATTATAATTTTTCAGCTCTATTTTCAGTTATAGATCTACTTGGGGCTATTTCTCTTAATTGAATAATTTATAATGTTATCAATTATATATGTTGACGTCGTCGAATATATATATTAATAGTATTGTTGTCAGTAGTTATTAATATTGTTGTTTATTTATTGCAGATATAATGTCTAGGAAAAAATTAAGTGATTTGCGGATTGTTCGAACTCCTCAAGAGAAGGAAGAAACAAATAATGAAGAGTCGATTGGTGTTGCATCTAACAAAGTTCTGAATACAATTGAAGAAACTGTACAATTGAAGGTAATGTTCGACTCTTTATTTAAATTGTGACTGATTTTCTTATTGACTTGATTTCAAAATCCTACACTAAATTATTTCTTATGTAGCTGAAAATGGTCAAAGGCGCAAGAGTAGAGGTCGTACGATAATGAAGAAATTGTACCAACTTCCTCTTGGGGACCACGTGAGAGTTTCAACTAACGATGTCGGTCAACCTATTGGGATAAAAGATGTGTTCTATCAGGTTACCTAGGCATTATTGTACGCAATGCAAGTCTTATACCAATCAATTATGAGTCATGGCTTGAGATGCTGAATAGTAGCAAAAACCAAGCTGTTGATTGCGTTAAGGTAATAATTTCATTGTAATAAATAATTAATTGTAGTTTAATAGTAATATATTTATATACTTTCAACTCTTGTGTAATTTATAGGAGAAATTTTCTTTAGAGGTCTCAGATGATTATTTGAAGTAAGCGTTAGGAAAGAAATGGAGACACCACAAGAGTTTCGTAAAAATATATATTTTAAGAACAATCTTAGCCTTGAAGGAAAGCTGCAAAATGTCTCACCTGGAATGCTCAGATATCAATGGGAAGATACAATCATGTTTTGGAGTTCAAAGAAAAGAGGGTATGTGCGCTTTAAAAATAATATTATGTCACTATATTATTGACTTTATAAGTCATGTGGAGTTCAAATTGTAGGACCGAGAGCACGTTGATATTGATAGCAAACAACAACAAAAGTTTACTCACATTGCTGGATCGAAGAGCTTTGCTTGTGTAGCTCATGAACATGTATTATTTTTTTAGTTATGATTATTCATATAGTCATTTTAAGTTGGTACCATATAGTAATTAACATTTTTTCCATTATTTATTACTTTTTGTAAGTATTAATTTATAATTTATATTGTAGTAAATCACGTCCGCTAATAGAGTTGGAAGAATAAAGCTATTCGAAATGACACATACAAAAAAAGATGGCTCTCCTATGGCTCCTGAAGCTGCAGAAATTATGGTATATTTACTTGACATAAAATTTGCATTATGTTATATTTATAGTATAACATTTTTATTTTATATAATGTTTGAATTTGTTCTAAATTCTTAACTGATTATCATGAAAAATTGAGAGATAAAAAGGTAGAGTATAAAGTTACGGCTTCATCCCATGCTTCTATTAATGCGGACGAGATTGAAAATCAAGTTATTGTTGAAGTTTTCGATCTTGAAAGATATGGTCGAGTTCATTAGGGGTGTTCGCGGTCGGTTTGGATCGGTTTTTGGCTAAAATTTCATCCGATCTGAAAGTATACAAATTTGCGGTTTGGATGTTTCTAAAAAAAAATCTGATCCGATCAGATCCAATTAAGTGCGGTTTGATTCGGTTTGGATTTGTGCGGTTTTTGGATTCTAATTTTCAAAATTATATCATCCCAACACAAATGGTTTTGCTTTCCAAATTCTCCACATGTTTCAATGTCGTGACCTGCAATTAGGCATTCCAGATTTCCAGTACTATAAATAGATTATTTCTATGGAACATAATTAAATATGCATAAAAGGGTCTTTCTATGCAATTATGCATTCCATTTCCAGTACTGTAAATATTCACCAACACCTAAAAAAACAGATCATAACATTCAATGTAATGAAACAAAGAAGCAGATTATCACTACATTGTTATCAAGTTCCAACTTTACAAACAACTGGATGCAGTAGCACAAAAAAAGATCTTGCTCTGTCATAAATAGGCTCATAACAAAGCAATTTTGCAAAAAGAGCGAAAGAGAAACATAAATAAATAAACAAAGCACGTGGTACAACTATGAAGACGAAACCATTTGCTCTGAAATCTGAATCGATTGAATTTCATCATCACAGATAATCATACTTCTAATTTACTTCAACAACTCGTTAATCCCAAACCTAGAAGGATTTGAAAACAAGAAGAAAATTCCTATTAAGAAACAAATATAACCGATGTTGCTCCACTTTTAGATAAAACCCACCACTATTTCGCACAAATAAAAAAAGGTAATCGAAAAGTACCGAAATTAAATCCAAATTCTAACGAATTGCCAAAAAAATTGATTAAAATATGAACAAATAAAGAAAGAAATAACATTTAATTGAACAAAGAGAAGATGCTATACCTGAAAGCCAAGACCCCACAAAGAAGAAAAAGATTCGAGCACCGTTGCTGAAAATAAGAGAGACAGAGAGAGAAGAGGAAGCGAAACAGTAGCGTAGCGTGTAAGAGAGAAGAAGATATGCGATGGAGCGAAGAGGCGGAGTAAATTGGGAAAAGTGGGCTAGGTTTTAGTTTTTGGTCAGAACATCAAACGGTGTCGTTCTGCTAGATAACTAAATATCGGTTCGGTTCGGTTTGGATCGGTTCTGGATGTCCAAACTGAAATCGGACCGAACCGATCGGTTTTGTAAAAAAAAAACCAAACACACCAAATCGGTTTCGGTTTTTTTCGGTTATCGGTTTTTTAGATCGGTTTTCGGTTATTTTTTTGGTTTGGATTGGATCTGAACACCCTTAGAGTTCACTGTCAGGGTTCATTCGTTACTCCAACCAAATATTTTTCATCCAGCTCGTCTCAGTACATGTCATCACACAACCAGTCTTCTCAACAAGAAGTTAATCGAATAAAACAACAGTTGAGTTAAGTTGATAAAAATTTGCTCAAATGAAAGCCGAGGCTGAAGCGAGAAAAGAAGAGAGAGAAGCAGAGAGAGCAGTGAGAGAAGAAGAGAGAGTAGCGAGAGAAGTAGAGAGAATCAACATTTCAGGAAAAAAAAATGAAGAACTTCAAAATCAAATTGAAGCTATAAAGCAGATGATAAAGCATAAGCAAACGAAGAATTCATCATCCTAGGTGTTTTCTTAGGTTAATGTTTTGTTTATATTATTGAAAAATGTTAAACTACATTATATTTAACTTGAATGTTTGTAAACTTTGATTTGTTTATGTTTTATGTATTATTACTTAATTCGAACATTAATTAAATTTAAGATGGTTATTGGATATTGTTATAGGTTAAATTTGAATAATACGAAATAGGAAGAATATATGTTGAAAATCAGTTTCGATTAGCGGCGTTTTAGGGGAAAAAGCCACTAACATAGTGCATATTTGACGGTATTTTTAGGAAAAACGTCGCTAAATTACCAACCTATTGTGGTGTTTTTGAGCAAAACGTCGCTAAATATCAAATCCATTGTGGCATTTGTGACTAAAAACGCCGCTAAATAGCGAACATGTTGCGGGAAAACACCTATAAATATCAAACCTATTACGATATTTTTGCGTTTGTGCCCAAAAACGCCGCTATATGGTGAACCTGTTGCGGCGTTTGTATACTAAAATATCGATATATAACCTGAATTTTAGCGGCGTTTTAGTATACAAATGCCACTACATAACCTGACTTTTAGCGGCGTTTTTAAAAGAAAATGCCACTAACAGTTGCGGCGTTCATATTAGTGGTTTTTTTGTGGTCTTTTTTTTGCACCGATAGCATTTTTAGCGGCGCTTTTAAACGCTGCTATAGGGGGGAAAATGGCGCTATAAACCAGTGCAACAGGAATATTAGAGCAGCTCTTGGACACCCAAACTTAATACCTCGTTAAATTACAAAGTTATGAATTTAAATTTGAATTTAATATATAATTCCTTAATATTAAATCTTGGATGCAATTGAAAAGAATAAACTTATTTGAAACATATACAAATAAATTATTGAAAATAAAATGTAATTCGCTTGATTTTGAAAAAGAATATTTTAATATATCGAACAATTAACAAGATCAATAGTTTAAGAGATTATCTCATTAAAATTTTGAAAATATCTTTTCTTGTAAATACATGCATACTCTCAATTTGGTGAAAGCATGTCAGTATAAACTCGTTATCATTGCTGATCACCGTGGTACCTCCCTTCCTGGACACACATTGTACATGACTCATCTAAGAACTATAAAATATCGGATAAATGATTCTTATATCGAACCATTTGATCACTTCCTTATTGCCAAACTCTTTCATGATAAGATTCATCATTTGGTCAGCAGAAATTAGTAGCGGCAAAAGTTTCAGCTTTCTCCCAAATAACCATACTTCAAATGTAACTACAAAGATTTTAGCTCTAAAGTGGACGACGTTGGGAAAGTCTTAGAACCGTTGCTTACGAACATAGACTTATCACTGAGGATTTTAATGATTTACTAGCGGGTAGGAAGACGAGCAGATAGTGTTTGTCGTATAAAGGCATTTAATGAGTGCATGGATTATTGTAATATGATAGACAATTTTGGAAATATGTTATGAAAAAAAGAGAAATCCTGATAGAAGAATACATGCCATTATTCTATTGTAAACAAGTATGGGTGGCAAGGCACTTCCCTGCCACCGAATTCAGATGGCCCTCTTTGTTGGAAAGTGGGATAGATACTCGGTTGCTCCCAGCAGAGGGTTCAGAAATGCAAAAGTAGTGTGGTCTTTTAATCCAATAAAAGCATATGTTCGAGTGGAACACGTGGACTTAAACCTAAGAACTATGGTGGTCTGAGACTTAGACGCTCAAAAAAACAAATAGTGCCTTTGTGTCAAGGGTTGGAGACTCATGAGAGAGTCAAAAACTTTGGCAAGAGTCTTTTATGCCAAATAGCTGGGATCTGCTGCAAAACCTTGGCATGCGATAGCTCCTTCTTTCATTTAGAGTATTGGAAATATTATTATTATAAAACTAGCAGACCAGGATAAATAAAATAAGAAATCACATAAACAGAAATTTATAAATTGACTAACACGGAGGAAGATCATCTAATTGCTTGAAAAAGGTATATGTTGGTCTACCCATACTGGGACAAATGTCAAGTTCTGGATCGGTAACTGGTCTATAGAGGAAGCGCCACAAGGATTGATTCAGGGACCACTTAATTTGGGAGATAAGAAAATGACCTTTAAACGAGCAGTCGAGTCATGAGAACAAGGGTGTAGTGGAGCATTCTCTCCTTACCACTTTCAAATGAGATTGTCTTACTCCTTAACAGTGTGCCCCACTACACATTTGTTTCAGCTCTGATGTCCTTTGTTGGAATTTTGAAAGGAAAGGCAATTTCACCATGGCTACCACATACGATCTATTAGAAATTAATACTGCTGCAAAACAACACCATTAGCATTGATTACCGAGTAATAATCAAATAATGAAATAAATAGAATGATTTACTGTGTGAAGTCAGTGTCTTAGAAACAATTTCTTCTAGATTGGTGTAATATTGAAAATAGACATTGTCCCCCAAAGTTAACACAGTCTGTGCACCCA